GATCTACTCAACCTCAGGAACATCCCCATATTTTTAAAATAATTTTCCACCGCCGCACGCGCCTCCACGAGCCGGCCAAGGCACGGCCACGCGCAGGCACGTGCCTGGCACGCTGACGGCGTCAACTGACGCCGTAGGGAATATTCCGTCAGATTTAACAGATTCTATCAACGGCGTCAGGAATATTCCGTCAGACTTGACGGAATATTCTGTCGTCTTCTCCGGCGAGCCTCCGGCGCCGTCGCCGCGCGCCGGAAAATCGGGAAAATTTCAAACTTCGATATCTTCTTCTATTTTATCCAAATTTCACAAAATTGGTACCAAAATGAAGCTTAGAACTAGAGGAACACAATCATACCACTTTCAAGGGCTAAAATCCACAAAATCTCACCTGAAAAATCAACCCAACTTCGGCCAACTTCAAAACTAGTGATCCCGACGTCCAAAACCATCAAACGAACCACTCCGAGCCTCCTAGGGACCTCACCAAGCTACCTACAAGCTTGAAATTCCCTAAAACGTGAGAAATCACGTGTGCATGAACAGTACCTCAATCAGACATCGTGTAATCGACGTGAAAACGAAGGTGTTCTTACTTGAAATGGGCATGGTTGGACTCCTACAAGCCTCACGAGTCTGAATATGTGCTTGGTTACCTCGATCTGTGGAGGTTTGATAGGTTTATGGGTGTGTCCGTACGATGGGGGAGGAAATGGGAAAGGAACTGGGCACGGGATAGGGTGCAGGGAACAGGAGAGAAACGTGTGGGTGCAGGTTAGTGTGTGTGTGGCCCAAAAACATGCCAACAAGGAACCCAAAACAACCACAAAACATAAAGAAAACGCACTAGGGGCAAATCTGTCATTTCACGCGTACGTTTTAAAATTTCTGGGACGGGCTGTCACAATTCAAGTATTTGTTCATATATCAAGCTAAAACTTGAAAACCAGTGTTTTTTTTTGTTAAAAAAAAAAAAAAAAAAAAAAAGCCACTAGTGCTATATACAAAATTATTATTTTTTATCTAAACCAAGTTTTCTTGATTGTTCAAAACTCAACTCTTATAATGTAATTTTAAGTTCAATAAAGGTAGATCTAGTTGTAAAAATTTCCAATATTTATTTACTAAAACTATATATTTTATTTTTTTGGTATTCACCATAGGAGGAGGGAAGAGGAAACGGTGTGTGCGTGTCAGAGGGAAACAAATATCGTCTGGGGAGGGTACGGTCCACGAGACAAGAGAGGTGAAAGAAGGTGGTCACGGGTCACGTCACAGCGCACAAGACAAAATTCCAAACAAGTCCAAACACAAAAAAATTCATTACCAAACACAATGAAAGGCATAAACACGTCTAATCCTCAATAATCCCATCCAATCCCTACAACCAAACACGACGATAGGAGTATTGAGTCGTATGCAGGTAATGAGTGGGTGCAAATGTGGCATTTGCAAAATGCAACCCTTGCCACCAATAACGGAAGTGGGACGAAGCTTTGAATTGAAGAGGTTGTTTTCCTCAAGTGCAAAACAGTTGTACCTTCGTTTATCAGCCCCTCACCATTCAAATCATCTTTTACCCTAAGGCTGCCTCTATAAAGCCCTCTAGGCCCACCCCCTTTATCATCCTTAAACGTTCACTTTGTTTCAAACCTACCCTTCTACCATCCGTGCTTCTCAGTAGGATTGTAACACCGTTATTTTAAATTATTGCTCTACTAGTGTTATAACTACATTTTTGAAGTGATATTATGTCGTCCACTTATTTTATAATACATTGACTAATAATACCACGTTTATTTCACGCCCAAATATTTTTAAAACTTTTATAGAAGGACTTGGTTAGGAACTTCTTATAAATGCATAGTTTGTGTTGAAAAGTCTATAAAGACTTGTGGGCCTGTTTGGAAGTGCTTTTAAACGGACTGAAAGCGCAACTAACACACGCCGACCCAGAATATCCACTTAGACACCTGAATCGAGCTGTGCTGGCCGACACCCATAAGGTAACGAAGCCATGAAGTGATGGTGATGTGGAAAATGCTACTAATTTAAACCTAAAATAACTAATTTTAGAGTGCAAATGTGAGCGGGATCGACCCATTTCACACAAGTGATGTCTAGAGTATAAGTAAATTGTAGTAAGATAATAGCAAGGACGTTTATACTGAAAGGAGAAGTCTTCTACATGACAACTTCTACCAGCAATCCTCGTCGTCACAAAATCTTTGCCACTAAAATCCAGGAGTGGCGAAAAATAAGGGTGAATGGCCCTAAATTTTTGCAAAACCTTTTTGAAAAATGTAACCCCTCGCTGTAAAACAAGTATATAATTTCACGAAAATATTATAATAATAGTATATAATAGGTACCCTGCAGAATAAAAGTGATTTTTGGAAGAAGAACTAGATATGTGCTTCTTGCAGGAAGCACTTAAAGTGTTTTTCCAATATCCACTTAGATTTTTACTAAGAATTAGTTTCAAAAACATTTTCACCAAAAACACTTTCAATCATTTTAAAATGGCATCATGTATTCGCTAATGAGTGCATATCACTCATCTAGCCAAGTGACAAGGAGAGTGCCCACAAATTGTTTCTCCTTTTTCTCACCATTGGATTGTCCCCCAATTTTTTCTTTTGATTACTAAGGTCTAATCTCAACTCTAATTTTGAAAAATTGGGTGGTTGACATGTGTAGAAATTAGTTCATATCACAATTTTTAATAATTGTTAGATATGCAATACCATATAAACATATAGAAAAAAATGACTACTAGAAGACAAGCATGGAGTTATCTCCTTTGTCCCCTTGTTATTTTTTTGTCTTGGTAACAAAAACAAAACAAGATGATACCCACCACCCAACTACCCACCACAACTCCCAAATAGCAATTCCCAAGCCCAATTGAGGAGGTACCAATTGGGTCTCGAATTTTACCTTATTGTACAAAAACCTTGTATAATATGTATGATTTTGGTATCCACTCACTCTTATAGAACATGGCCTCATTAAATGTGGATTATCAATGAAAGAACTCACATTGATGATTCTAAACATGATTTTTAAGCTAATATTGGGCTTACTTAAATAAACAAACACAAAAGATAGATGTAAAGTGAAGAGAATGCCAATGAGAGCAAAGGCATATTTGTTAAATGTAGACATGTTATTGCTATCAAACTACTATCAAGATTTAGTAATGAACTAATTTAAGTATATGTTTACCATATATAATTCTAATGAATTTTAAGGTGCCTTAACTATAACATATACTTGACATAAGTTTACGTGGACCCGCATTTTAAAATAATTATATATATATATCTTCACCTACCAAAATTTTCTTTACAAAGACAATTTACTATATGGAAATTGCTATGTGTCACAATTTCCTTTTATCTTTTCTTGGTACCAGATTTTTCTTATACGTATAGTGCGAAAAAATGTCTGACTACAAGTTATTAAAAAAATGATGAGCAGTTACCTTAGTATTAATCAATTCTATAACGAAAAGAATTTACGTGCAACAATTGTTAATCGTGCACATGACGGCTTGCATTTATTGGTTTCAAACTTATTTTAACAAACGAAAACATGGTAATGATCATGATATTCCTATGTGCATCACAATTTAAGTAATAATCATATATGACATGGTTTCACTTCACTGCCTTACCAAGAAAAGATAAAAGGAGAAAAGAATGTGAAATATCTAACTTGATAAATTGGTGTATTTTTATATTTTCTGAAACCTATACTTTCGACTATAGGCCTATAAAAATGGCCAAGCCCTTATGGGCTGGCTCGAATTTGGCCCCATTTTTAGAGTTGTGAGCAGTCCAGCTCGATTGCAGGGCTATACTATAATTGGCCCATTTTCTAATGACTAGGGTTTGGGCCTTCTATACTACCCTTTGGGTCGGCTCGTGGCCCAGACCTAAGAATGGTGGCAAATTTGGCCCGATGTAACTAATAGATTTGGTGTGGACTTACTTATCTATGCTTATATAAATAATTGTTATAGTTAATATTTGATATTGTGTGATTGTGTAAATCATTTGTAGATTTAGTTACACTCTGGTTGGATAAGAAAAATTAAGATTATTAAGAAATTTTATAATGATGGAATTTTATTTTCTAAACTTTATGAATTTTTTTATTTGGTTAACCTAAAAGAATACGAAATTTGAAGGGAACTTGTTATTTTAAACTCTCCTATAGAAATTTAGAAATGACACCTAATTTTAGGGCTGGTTTGGTATGGGATACCGAACTAAAACTAGTATCCCTGAATCTCAAACAGAAAATTTCCAGGATGAGAATTTGAAGATCAATCTCGAACCGAAATTTCGGTATTCCTAAATTTTGGTAATCATGAAATGTTTTCAGTATTTTGGGACAAATCGGGACTAAATTTTGATTTGGGGTTTTTGGGCTCAAACTTGACACATTGGGCTTTTGGACTGAAATTTAGCCTTTTAGATTGAAATTGTTAGCCCAACGTCATGTAAATTAAAATTTGAGCCCCTTACTTCAGACATACCAATCTATGCAATCATAGATTCATAGCCCTAATTGAAATATGAAATTATGAATTTTTCTTCAAATGTATTCTATTATCATGCTTGCAACAAAAATAAAATTTGTTAAATAACAAACCCAAAAGCAAAACAATAAGTTACAAGCCAAAGTTTCAAAATAAAATAAGTTAAGTTACAAACCAAAAGCAAAAAGAAAAACTTAAAGTAAGTTCATGAAGATTGTTGGCCCCTTCCTCTTGTTGATGGTTGTGGTTGCTCCTTTACCGTGCTTATTGTTGTTGATTGTTGACCTCTTCGTCTTCTTGTTGGTTGAACTCTTCCCCTTGATGTTGATGGTTGAGCCCTTCCACTTAATATGGGTGCTCATGGAGGTAGTGATTGATTTGGACGTTGTTAAACTTCAACTTGAGGTGGTTGAGGAGGTGGAGGTAGCATTTCATTTCCTTGTGTTGTATTCTCCTCACCTCCCAAATTAGTCGTGCCTAAAATAATAAACCACAAATCATTTAGATTGACGTGTTTGGTACACCTGATACAATTAATAATACGGAGTACGGTATTTGGTGTTCGTTCGTATTAGGTAGCCACCGGATTAAATAATCCGGGCCCACTTATTTTATACGGTAAGCACTCGTTTCCTTATCCCCTCTAAAACCACGGTACAATTTAGTCGGCTTCTTGAGAACGCACCCTCGCTTTCTCCTTTCTCCTGAAAACACACTCTCGCTCTCTCTTCCTCTCCAGACGGTACAAGAAAATCTCTTGCTCTCTTTCCTCTCCTAGCTGCACCGGTCCTCTCTAGACACACCGCTCCCATGTTTGTCTTCTCATTCTTCTTCTTCCCAGGTTCCGCCCCTCCTTCTATTTTTCTTGCAATTTTCTTTCAATTGTTTGAATCTAGTTATTGTTTTCTCTGTAATTATGCAATTGATTATGTAATTTTGTGTTTTAATTAGAATTTTCAAATTTAGGGTTTGTTGTTAGGGTCGAATACCTGAGACTTCAAGCTCTCAAAGGCCATTTCCTTTTTTTCTTGAATTCCTGCGATTTCTCTGATCCAAAACCTTCGAACCCTTTTTTGGAATTTTGATCCCAACCCACTGAGTGGAAGAGAAAGAGGACAGACTCTGCATGTTTGGGTGATGAGATTGGCATCCACTGGGAAGAAAACCCTGCAATGGAGCAACATTGGAAGAAGGGCAACTTGAATGAGAAGTATGATCAGTGTTTGAGATGTGAAACTCGTCATCTTCACGAGCAGGAAAAAGAGTTTGTGAAAATTCAGGCAGATGTTTGTTTTATAGAGATTAATGCGTTCTACAACTTGAATGAGAAGTATGATTAGTGTTTGAGATGTGAAACTTGTCAAATTTTTTTTTCTTCCCCTTTCTTATACGGTTCAGTACCAAACACAATATAAATAATACGGTCATTAGTCCGATACTACACTAAACGACCGATTAATTTAGTCAGTAATATCCGGTGGCTATTTATCCTATCCTATATAAATAGTCAGTACAGTCCGAGCTGCCAAATGAGACCTTATAGAAATAGATAATGAATATTAAGAAAATAAAAGGGAAAATTAAATTCTTTACTTACTTTTTTCCAAGCGTTCAAGTTCCTTGTAGAAAATGAATTCGTCAAGTGTAGGCTCCTTGTAGAAACAAAATTCATTCCCCCTAAGCTAGTCACTAGTACACACTAAAGCCTCAACCGTTTTAGGCGTTAAGGAAGCTCTAAAAGGATCAACAACTCTCCCACCAAGACTAAAGACATTCTCACTAGAAACGGTGCTACTAGAAAAAGAAAATACATCCTTAGTAACTTTACTAAGAGTTGGGTATGTACCACTATTTCCTTTCCACCAATCCAAAAGATTGAAACCCTCATATGTTAGACTTTGATGTGGATCATTAAAGTACATATCCACTTCATTGGCTATCTCATTTTGTTGTGCTGCCACCCTCTTTTGTTGGATCTTCCTTGTCATCCTTTTAGTAACATCAATATCTACCACACCCTTCCATCATCTACTACAACACTTGATCTTTGCTCCACATTTGAAGTAGCACCACCATTACTATTACTACTACTACTACTACTAAGGACCACTCCTCCTTATATGCATAATACAACTCGGTTACATTGCTTTTAACCCCTTGCTTTCACCTCCCTTATTTGTCCCATCCATAGCTGAGATGTTCTAGATTTGTCTCCAACATTTCGAATTTGTACCTTGGCTCAAGTGCTTGGGCTACAAAGAGAATAGGGTTCACCTTTTCAATGTCATCCCAATATTTGTCAAACTTGAGTTTCATTGAGGTAGCCACACTTTGCAAAGTGACATTAGAAAAGTTTAAAATTTGTTCATCTATCTCCACTTGCAAAGCAATCACCGTGCTAAGTATTAAGTGTGATGTTGGAGCAAGGTTGCACTCAAGATCAAGGTGGCATCATAAAACTTTTTGAGAAAGTGAGCAAAACTTACTGACCTCTCCGAATCATCCACCCCAGGACCCTACCCGCTTGGCCTTTGTTGTCATTCCATCAACCTCTTTCGAGACCTCCTCTTTAAAGTAAGTGATAAAAATGCCACACTCAAAGGCCATCCTAGAGAACACTTCTTTAAACTTGAAAGCACTATTAGACATTTTATAGGTGGCATTCTACTTTGTGACAACATCAAACGGATACTTGACATCCTATCAAGTCTCAACAAGACACAAGATTCTCTAAAAGGCTCCAACCTTATGGGGCATGATGGATTGAGACAATGTCATCTTGGAGTTCCTATTTTATGAAGGCTTACATGCATGGAATGTGTCCATCATTACAATTGTGTTTCGATTAAATAACAATATTATATGTAAGTTTCTCTTCACATGATATTACACGTAATTGATTCAGACTAAAATTCTCTCCCCTCTTTTTTTCTCTCCCCTTCCCTTCCTTCCTATTTGGATGGTCACGGTTAAACCATGTTAACATCTTATATTAATTTTATATAGAAAGAGAAAGACAAAATAAAAAATATGAGAGGAGGTGAGAGAAGGGTATGGAAAAAGAATAAGAAAAAAAACCTAATCCAAATGATTTAGAACGACAAATTGTAATAAACCTATTTAACGTAAGTTGCTCTATTGCTAATTTGCAACACACATCGCTCCCCCCTCGGCCTCACCATAAAATCATAATGTGCCATGCACACAACCTAGTCAGCTCAATCAAATTAGTTTTGAAATCCGTTATTATTTAAACATGTAGCGCGGTCCCGATCACCAGGGCGGTTGCAGAAATAAAATGTATATAAATCTCCGCAGAAAACCCAAAACAAATTGCCAACACCACCTCTAGTAGTCAGTCAACTGTATCTGTATACATCCAATCCATCATCCATGGCCTCGATTTTCGTATCATGTCATTTAAATTGCATGAGTTTTGCTCGCATTATTGCGTCTACATGATGTCAAAGACGTAAGAACATATGGCTAGTGATGTGTTGGGGTTTTGTTTGATGGAACTGGATGGTTTTATTTTTTTATCTTTTATTTATGTACTAATTCCAGTCTGTGCAACTGTTGCATATTCCAGTCTGTTTTAATTAAACAAAAGTAAATAAACTTAATTATTCAATTTAATTTCAAACAGATTACATGAATTGAAAATCAATTCTGCTAAAGTTTATTTGATTGAATTCAATTTATTTATAGATAGAAGTGCTTACAAACAATGTGCTAGGTTTTGGTTGAACTCCCCTCTTTTTGTCAAGGTGCTAATAATGCAAATCATTCGAATATTTCACCTGATAGGTAGCGGAAGAACTGACAACAGCATGTTTCCAGAAGTTGACAGCACTTGGAAAGCATGTGAGAAGTTTATTTAGATACTTCCATCTTGCCTAGATCTATTTAAATTAGTTTTAGTAGAATTAGCATATAATCTCAGTAATGGGGATGGATTTGAGGGGGTTTAAGAGTTTCTTAGACCCGTATATCCCAATAATTGACAAGAGGTATAGTGCTTTTGGCTGCATAGAATTTCAAATCGCTGCATGGCGACAAAAGCTTCTTTGAGTCTAACCAGTACGTTTCCATTTTCGCAACAACTAATTTGTTTGTCTTGCAAAAGTGCTTATATAATTGCAAATGTGGTTGCAGACTTTTAACGAGGTACAGAACTTGCTCAGTAAAACCAATGGTCGGGTGGTGGGTGATGTGATGACACCAGCCACAGTTGTCGTTCGTGAAACCACTAATCTTGGGGATGTTGCTAGGTATTCTACTTTTTCCGGATCCCATTATTGGTCTAGCTGAAAACTAACTATTAACTTCGGTTATCTAATGTCAGATTATTGCTCGAGACAAAATATCGCAGACTTCCAGTTGTAAATGAAAGCGGCAAGCTGGTAACGATGCATTATTCTTCTCTCAATACGTGTCTTTCTCTGTCGTTGTAATGCTCTTTCTGCGGTATCTCTGAAATGCCGTTGTTCTTTATCCGAAGATAGGAATTAGTACAAGAGGAAACATCATACGAGCTGCCCTTCAAATGAAACATGCTAGTGAATCGAAAACATAACACCAACACAAGCAGGGATCAAAGTCATTTCCAGATGTTTATGTGCTGCAATCATAACGAAATTGAAGGAATTGGTCTGCTTTATGGGTAGCAATTTTGACAAAATTTCTGTATAATTTGGCAATGGGATTGCATTAATAATGAATAACGCGGGAATAGAAAGAAAATAATGTGGGACCCTACAAGTCCACATTGTGTAATGGCTGGAAATCTCTCACGCACGTGGGCACGACTGATCTTCACAAGAACTTAGTCCAGATGCTGTCGTGTCTCGTTGCGGATTTACCTGGTATGTGTGAGTGTCGTTAGCCATCTTATCAATAACCGATGTTTGTTGAGCGTATACCATGGGATTGGTTCATGATTAATTGCCAAATTCGCGGTACCAGTTGTTAAACAACATGGTTGAAATGTGGAGGTTGTGGAAGTTAGCCAATGACTATAAGATTGGCCCCAATCTTTCTTTGTTTGGCTTCAATTATTGAGCAACTAATCCTTTTAAAAGAGGAAATTTATCGTAGACAAAATGATTATCTCACTGCGGCCAATCAAATCTTCGAGGGTAAAGAGGTAAATAAGGTAAAAGAAAAAGGTAAATGTTCATTTGGTTGGGATTAGAAGTTAGAAGTAGGGCACCTTAAAAGACGGAAGAGGATCTAATACGGATTTACTTTGTGGGAGTTTTAGGAATCCTCACATCCTAGCCGTTCATCATACATCGTGTGGTCAATTTTCGTCAGATATTATTTGTGTTTAATTTTAAATAAAAAAATCAAATGATTTATAACTGCACGATATGAATAACTAAGATATGAGGATGATTCGGATGGAATCCAATTCCCCTAAAAGACATCTACAGCATTGAGATTTGAGAAAGTTTACAATAATTAACTACTCAATTTAGCATAATAAACAAACACCGAATTCTCCGCTAATCGTGGATTAATCCTTGTCCTTTACAAAAAAGTGGCAAGAAATGGTTTTTAAGTTCTAAACAAACCGTGGCTTACAGCTCATGCATTGGTCACCAGCCAAATTTAATGTTTATAGCTAACCTCTATGCATTCGACAATGTTAGGATCAGTTGCGCGCACTTGGTTTAAACTCAAATCGAGCTTTAAACTCAAATCCAGTAAAGCAGGGATGACCAGCATCAACGCATGCGCATGTAATCAACAAACTTTCATGCGCAACTAAACTTAACACTCACGGGCAAACGCATTTATCATATTTGGATCCAACTCCAAGGAAAGACGGTTAGAATCAATACGCATGTAAACGACTACACTCACCACTTCTTTTCAACACGCGCGCATGCAACATTGGCATGTGCGCGCACATGTGAATGCAATTGATCCATGCACAACTCTCCAACACAAGCACACGATCCTAGCACTCTCTTGTCCCAGTGGAAGGGGATCATAGAGCCATAACAAAAGTGCCATTTGACCTCACAAATAGAATCTAAGACTGAGAGTGAGACACCGAAAGGGGGACAAAACCGATAGAGGGCACTGTGCGCCCCATTTGCCCTCTCGCTCCTCCGTCATCCAAAACCCCAGTACCACCACCACGACGGCACCACCCATGTATCAACCGCACTTAATCCGCAACAGTGCACAGAACCGGAAAATACCTAACTCTTTCAAATCCCAATTGCTTTCTAGTAGTTATAACTTTAGTGGTTAGCCTGGCCCCTCTTGTGTCCCCCCTCCCCCTCCAACTGGAGGACCCTTTCTAGTTGTTACCAAACTAACAAGTAAAAACAATTCCCTCCTCTTTCTTTCTTTCTTTTTCCTTCGTCCTCTTAAATCCACCCTTTTTCTTCCATTTTTTGCTCTCCTCCTTCACCTCCCCCATTTGCTAGCTCAGCACCATATTACCACTTATATAAGAGGAAAGTTTGAATACAAAGCGAAACATGAGGAAATCGAACTCGGAGTCTGCTCCTAACCAGCTGAGAGCTACGAGACGAACCATTTCCACATAAGAGGAAATGTTCATTTACCCAAAATTGAAACGAGTAAATACAGAGAAAAAGGGGGAAATAAGCTAATTTAGTAGCATAATTTACATCTTATATCACCTTTTAATAAAAGCCCAAAATTTCTTCATCCAAAGCAAAAATTTTCTGAACAAAAATAAAAAAGTTGAAAAAAAAAAAGAGATGCAGTAGGCGAAATTCTAATATCCAGGACCAGGACGAAAGCTTCATCATTGCTTCAGCAGTCACATACCTCCCCTGCACACGTTAGCAAAAGCCACCCCTCAATTTTTAAAAATCATAAGAGATTAAGACAACCTTTCTCTGTTTTGCTCTCACTATTTCCACTCACCTTCCGAGTTCTCTGGGTCGGGCATCTTGTTCAAGTCGACCCGATCCACGAATCCGGCGACGCAAGGCTTAATCTCAGCCCCGTCTCCGTTCCCCCCGGCCGAACCGCGGTGGTTTCGCATAGCGGTCTCCACCGCGTCGACCCGGGCACCGACCTCGGTGGCCCGTTTGCGTATTGAGGCCGCCGACATGTCGCCGCACCCGCAGCCGCCGCCTTCGACCGCCAAAGCCTCTGGAAAATTGAGCCGCGCCGATGGACCCCTCAAGTAAAAAACAGCCGTATCGTACGCCCGGGCGGCGGCGACGGGAGTGGAGTAGGAGCCGAGCCAAATTCTGGAGCGCTTGTTGGGTTCTCGAATCTCGGCCACCCACTTTCCCCACTTCCTCATCCTTATCCCCTTGTACGGCTTGTCGTTCTCCACCGCTCTCTTCCTGTTCGCCGTGTCTCCGCCGCACTCCATGTTCTTCCTCTTCAATTCTTCTCCTTCAATTGTTGTTCGGTCTGAGAGTGCAAAAGGAGGGCTCTGCTTTCTGAGGGAGAGAGGGAGAGAGGTGGGAGGAGGGGTTTTGCATGCTACTTGGCCACTAAGGTTGTCGTCTAGGTAGGCTTCCACGTCTCTGAAACCCAACAAAAGAAAACATTTTTAAATCCCCAAAATAAATCCAAATTCACCGACACAACAAATCCTAGGGATGGTTCGGTATGGGATACCGAACCAAAAGTAGTACCCCGAATCCCAAACCGAAATCTTTTGGGACGGGAATTTGAAGACCAATCACAAACCAAATTTTCGGGAATCCCAAATTTCGGGAATCCCGAAATATTTTCGGGATTTCGGGACAAATCGGGAATCCCAAATTAAAATATGAAATTATGAATTATTCTTCAAATATATAATTTAAGAATACATTCATGAACTAGGAATGTCATTTCATTCACACTACCATTTAATCAAATATTGGCATGCTTGATTGTTTTTATCATAGTCAAAATTCAAATTAATTAAACCCTTTTGGCAATTTGTTGAGAGATAAAAGAATCAAACCTTCTGAAATCATCAGCCATGACAATAGCAATAATAAAATCCAAATGAATATCAAACAGAACATGAAAAATATGTAAGGTGTAAGGCATTCCAGGTTGCAGAGCATGAATTAGAAACTACTAGCATCAATTATAAAAGAATAATATATAATATATATGTATAAATATATATATATATATATATTAATTAATAATATATAATTTCGGTTTGGTATGAGATTCCCGAAATATTGAGAAGCCAATCCCGAATCCCGTACCAAAATTTCGGGATCGGTTTGGGATAGCATCCCGAAAATTTCGGGAATTTTGGTTTGGGAAATTTTTGGTTTGGGATCGGGATTTTTTCGGTTCGGTTTGGGATTTTCGGGAATTTTTTCCACCCCTAACAAATCCCACCGAATTTTTTTTTTTTTTTTGGGTTTTTGGGGTTTTTTTGTTGCCTAATTAAGAAGTGGTGTTGGTGCCGCTTAATATTACGGTTTAGTATGAGAGGTTTTAAGTTTGATTCTCGTTAAAGGCGAATTTGAACCATATTTTTGTATTGGTCATTGTGAGGTTAAGCCCACCTCCTCTTCCTTAGGATATATAATTTCTTTTTTTTTTTTAGTACATCGATATTTTTACACTAGAGGGAGGGGATACAATGGGTAACCTAATTTGGTATCGAATATGCCATCCACGAGATTCGAACATAAAACCTCTCACTTCCAAATGAAGAGGAATATCACCAGACCATAGTATTGAGTTGCAAATAATTTCGTTTGTTAAAAAACAAAAAAATGGTGTTGGTTAGACTCAGAGGACCCCGTCCTAAGGGCACTTCAGAGATGGGGGCTGCTTTATTTTCCTCTTTGCATCTCTGAGGTCCTATAAGGTTTTCAAAAAATGAGTTCGGGTTTTATACAGTTTAGATGTATAAGTGGTCTTTTACCACATTAGTGGAAATATGTTGAGTTTTTGTATGATGATGTTCGTTCAAACTCCATCGGTGACTAATCTAACAAAACCTATCATTTGACAAAAAAAAAAAAAAATGTAATGGATGGTGGAGGTAGAAGAGGTAGTGATGGGAGCTGTCCGTTTGTGTGGACAACTCAAGTCAAGTGGAATTCAAAGGTTGTGAAAAAAAATTAGTTGTATTTTCTTGTTTATAGTGAGGAACAAGTGGTTTATTCTTTTGTTTGTGATTAAACTAGACTTTTTTTTATGTACTAATGTTGCAAATTATATATTAAAAGAATTTCTTTTAATAAAAAATGGAATTCAATGGACCCTAAAACGTGGATAAAAAGCACTAAACTAGAGTTCATATACAGCTTATTACTAATTTGTTTTGGTATTGGAAGTTTGTAAGTTACACTAATTGTGCTCATTGCCCAACAATTTTGATAATATTGATTTTAAGATGGACCACTTTGATTAGGCTGTACTTGTGAACGCCTATTAGTTATTACCATTTCATTAAAAAAAAATGTTGTTTGCTTGAAAAGCGTTGGATTAAATGTGAAGTCATCCAATTTAGAAAGTAAATTAATTTTTGGATTCAAAATACATTTTAGGCGAAATGAAAAAGATACATTTTATTTTTTTATATTTTTATATTTACACTAAGGATGGGCAATTTAATTTGGCATCGAATTCGTCATCGACAAGATTCAAACCTAAGACCTTTTATTTATAAGTAAAGAAAAATACTACTAAACTGTAGTACTAAATGATTTCTATGAAAGAGATTTTAGTACCAGTTAACTGTTAACATTTTCATAAAATACAGAAGAGACTCTTACATTCAAATACAATAATGCATGAGGTACTCTATAGATTTTTCAAAGGTTAGATGACGTGACATGAAAGCTCTGATTCAAAAGTATATCCAACCAAACATTACAAAAATGAAATATTTTTTGTTTATGGAAGTGCTTTGGCAAATGTAAGAAGCACTCAAAATCCAACCCCTAATTAATTTGTTGCTTTTGTGGGTTTTATTATTTTGTTGCTTCTTATTTAATTTTCCATACTGTTAGGAAAGGATTTATATCCTTTCTGGATCCCCTCACTAGGAATCTCGGGGATTAATACATAGTAATTATTCATAAAAAATCATGCGATTACAATTTTTTATTTTATTTTTCATACAAAACGAGGTTGCTTTAATTTTAAAATTATAAAAAACATTCAATTATGATCGTACGATCTTTAATGAACGGTTACTATGCATTGATCTACAGAATCCTCAGTGAGGGCATCCGGCGAGGATCTAAATCCGTTTGGAATTGACTTGTCCCTCCCTGCAAATATCATCAGTCGGTTGACAATTCTGTCCTTCCCTTACTTTTGTTTGGTTGTTGGCAGCAAGGGATAATATAGACATTCTGCAATCCCAGTGGCCCACTAAGTAAGATGGATCATATTATTGGGTCGTCGGCCTTATATTTTATTCACAAAAATGGTTATTATCTTTTCTTTTTTTTATTATTTCCAGTTTCAGTTTATGGGTTTGATTCTCTGAATTTACCGCCACAAGGTGGATTGAGAGGGACTTTTTTGGCGGTGGGATAAAATCACATTTCCTTGTATTTTAAGAAGTCAAAACATGAGTGTTAGGACACCACATGAGTTTGGAGGATTAGACCACTCTAAAGTTGAAGGATCTTGTCTTTTCTAGTGCAGATGGAAAAGTAGAAGACGGTTAAAGAAGTATAAAAAATAACTTTGTATTTTATTCATATTTATTCATACATATCAGCATCAAAAACTTCATCTTCAAAAGCATACGGTTGTTTGAAATATTGTCACTGTTAACACTTAAGATTTACAGGTTAACAAATTAAAATACTAAATTCTTGATGGACTTGGGATGTGGACTGAAATGGACTTAAAGATTTAAGAGGTTCATCTCTCAAAATTGAGTTACATCCAATGTGTTGCTCGGATTTCAAGACTAAAAGTAGCACACAGCTAATACATGAACTAATACATGAACTCTTTCCTTTCAGTTGTCCGACTCTCTTACAGGATGTTCCCACCCCTTTATATAGCCCTCAATGGACCCTTCAATCTTGAGTTTTTCCAATCTGGCATTTAATACGTCACCTACGTAGACTAGCATATTGACACATTTTCACCTAGTGACCAGGTATTTGACTGTGAAGTAACAAGTGCTCAGTCAAGTTGGTGCATCTTTTCGGAGTGATATGGCCCAAGCGCCTTAGTTATCCAACCCCGTCTCTCTGAGCACCATTTCGACCACCTTTATGTCCTATCCTAGGTTTCTGCTACTGACTGTGACATTTAGGTAGATTTGTTTCTAGAGTTATGCCATAAAGTTGTGAGTCTGTCGACTCTACCCACATGCCCTGGTGGTCGAGAAATTTTTTACATATCCTGGTCGAGTTAAGCTCACAGGCAATCGACCTCTGCACTCGGATGTATCCACTCCTAAGCCTCTTGGACCTTGGGCTTTTTGATCTTTATTGGGCTTCTCATGGCTTTTTTCCCAGCATGCACCACTATGTGTGGCCTAAAAGTGCCCAACATTAACAAGTCCCCAAACTCCTTAGTCAAAGGTTTTTTCTTGGACATAGAGTTGCAATGATCGATCTGGACTTCAAGTGGTGCTCGACTAAAGAAAGTGTCTCGGGTGTACATGACTCATCGTTATGTCAATCTCAGCTACGTACCGTCTGTGCTTTATTCGGTGCAACGAGCAGAAGATGTTTGGGTGCCCGATGTTCGTGTTACTGATAGACTGGTGGAGTAATTGAGGCATCTGTGTGTGGCCTCATGTACTGATAGACTGGCAGAGTAATTAAGGCGTATGGGTATTCAAGGCATTGTAGATAGGTGTGGCCTCATGCACTTAGATGTTGCTTTACATTTCTTCAACTCTCAGAGCAAAGTAAATGGTTGCCACGTGTTGTGATCTCGCCACTCATGCACCACGCCATCGATGGTTAAGATCACACAATCGAAGCTATGTAAACCTCCTTTATTACAATCCCTTCCCTTTATTTCACGCTCTCTATATTGAGACTTTGCTAGTTTTCCTTCGTTATTCCTTCGGTGACCTAAAAACTACTTCCTCAAGACTTTTATTCCTTAGTCGTTGTTTCTTCAGGTAAATTATTTCTTCCTATGCTTCTTGTATTTCGTAGATTGCTGAGTTATGTTAATGTAATTACTGGTTCTCATAGTGAAATTCATATTCTTAGTCACCGCGAGCACACGCACACGCCGGTGAGACTAACTCCATTACCTCCAATGAATAAAATAAGGTAGATTTTCATGACATAGGTAGATTAAGCAGTTTGGAATCTTCCATTCGACCAAGTGCTCGTTTACCTAATCGTCTGCACCTTAATTTGTAGTTATTCCTTCATTTACATTTCTAAGATCATGAAATTACTTGTAGATATCGAGCACACATGCAATGTTGACCACTTCAGGCTCGGAAAGTGATGACTGAGTAGCCTATGTTTACAAATAGTCAGTCTACAACGATATGGCCAGCTCTATCGACACTGTCAATTCCATTAAAATGTTCAACGAACCTCTGGTCAAATCGGTTGCCAACCCTTTTTCGTTAATCGCAAACCCG